GGGTAGATGCATGTGCTCTTTTGCTTTAAATATTTGTGTTCTGACAGACGCATTTTGAGTACAACGTACGTAACTTTTGGACACCTGCTCTTTCTATTTTTGTTTCCTTGTTTTTGTTGTTTCCTGGCGAAATTTGGCCGTTCTCGCCACTGTTTCCTAATCATCATCATCATCATCATCATCATCATCATCATCATCATCATCATCATCATCATCATCATCATCATCTACAACAACAACAACAAAAACTCTATCAGTATCAACAACATCTATTTACATCGCCAACAACAATAACAATAACATTAGCACCACCAACAATACCCATTTACATCATCAACTATCAATAACAATAACATTAGACAACACTCATTTACATCATGAACAACAAAAACAATAACAATAATATTAGACAGCACTCATCAACATCATCAACAACAGTAACAATAACATTAGACAACGCACACTAACATCACCAGCAACAATAACAATAACCTTAGACAACACTCATTTACATCATCAATAACAGTAACAATAACATTAGACAACTTCCATTAACATTACCTGTAACAATAACAATAACATTGGACAACACTCATTTACATCGTCAACAACAGTAACAATAACAATAGCACCACCAACAACGCCCCATTAGCATCAATAAAACAACCTAATAAGCTCCAACCATAATACCCATTTACATCCTCATCAACAAAACAACATTAGCATCACTTACACCGCCAGCAACAACAACAACAACAGCAAGACCAGGTGGGTGCTTGGCGGGTGTTCTGCTGTGGTTTGCTTCTTCTTTCCTATCAAACATCTATCGTCTTTAAAAATCTCCCCCTCCTTCTTTTTTGCGTTTGTTACTCTCTTGTAACACCTCTAATCTTCGGCACTTATATATGACCGTATGCAGTTGCGAGCGCCGTAAAACCACTACTTAAAAAAAACAACCAAAAAGACACGTACCAGCACCCCACTCCACTGCCTCTCCCTCTCCACGCTTCTACTTTAGTGTCAATTTAGTATAGTATATATTTTTTTCTTATTATGTTGTTTTTATCAGTTGCACGCGCGTGCTGTGTGTGTGTGTG